GTTTCTTGAAATTCAATATAATTCAGTATCTTATCAATGGAAAAAAAATCAATATTCTTATATAAAGAAATTATATTATTCGATTTTTGAAAAGAAAAGAATCGTGGAGTCCACTGGACGTAACATCCCCCGCCTTAAACAAATGTTGGGAGTACACGACATTTGCGCGTAAGAGTGAGAACTAAGACGATTCTTTTCTTTCTATTAGTATTTGATAGATTAGTATTTGACATCGAATTGGAGAGCTTATACTTAAGCTCTTAACGCATGCATATTCGTTGACTTCTGAAAAAAGGAGGAAGGAAACAGCTCTCAAAATTTCTTCCGCAATTCTTTCATTCTTTCCGAGTTTTCTTATCTATTTTTATAGGTCTGTTTTTTATAGCTGAACCAATATACTTGAGTGATGTTTTAAAATAAGACAAACATATATATGAAATAGAGAAAATTTCCTGGTGCAGCAATAAGAAACGGCCATAGGAAGATTTAACTATTCGCTTTTCTACTCTTTCTGTTCATTGTTTCAAATAATTATATTTATATATATTTCAAACAAAAAGTATAGTTATTCTTCCCCTTTTACAAGAATCTAGAATGTATTGAATAATAAAAGATTAAAAGTGGAAGAATAATCTTTTGATGCTTATTTTAATGTTTATGTGCTTATGCTTATATGTTTATTATTATCATTACCTATTATTTATTTTAAATATTGTTTTTTTCTTTTTTTATTATATATTTATTATATATTTTTCATTTATCATTAATATTTATTATTGTCATGTGTATATTCATATCATTCCTACTGCTATATTGATAATCTAATTAGTATATTCGTTTGTATATATAAGTCGTATGAGTTCTTTCCTTTCTATAGAGGAAATTTATCGTATACAAACCGAGATGATTTCTCTCCTTTCGACAGGCAATAATGAATACGAAATGCCAGACGTTAGATTTCAAGTGATCGGGATAGCTTATCTTAGCTTATCTACGTGACGCAAACGGGTATACTTCATCCTTGTTTCAAGATGTCCTTGTCGGCACGTGAATATGCCTCGATGCATTCTCGACACTCATCGGCTGATTTAAATGTGATTAAGGTTTTATCATGAATTGCACCACATATCTACGCATATTGCTTTTATGTGGACCAAATTATGCGGCACAACCAGCAGGTATTGAGATCTTGATGTAGCTGGTATGTTTAAATAACAGGAATAGCAAATCTTGATGTTATCGTCCAGTCGCTGATAATACCGTTCTTCTGCACGAGTAACGTATCGGAATTTCATCAGAAACTGATAGATATGAACTTGGTCCTTGATTGTTGTATTTTCTCGGGTCTGAGTGGGGGAATTATAAACTGGCATTTGGTACTGTAATTTATAATAAGATTCTTTTATCAAATAATAATGATAGTAATAGAAAGGAAAGATAACTTAATAACTATTTGAAGTTTATCTATCTATAATTGCCACATGGAAATGGAAATATTATTATTATTATCTCTTTTAAAGCAATAAAGCTAAAATTTCATTATTTGTTTATAGATAGATAGCTTAATGTTAGTTGTTAGTGAAATAAAAAAAAGAAAAAAGGAAATAAGAACAGATTTGTTACTGTGACTAGATATACACTCTTTTATCAATTATGATTAATCTTAATCTTATTGTTATTAGTATTATTATAATTATATCGAAAGATGTACTATTCGCCATTTGCTCCATGTGTTGAGCATCTCCTAGCTCGATGAGCGTTTCCTTCACATTCTTTCATCGATCTCCGCATTCGTTTCTTATTTCTAATTTTACAAGTACAGCTTCGTCGGCTACACTGCCGAGAATTGTCATTCGTCCATTTTGTTTTTCAATTAAAAATTTTAGTTGTTCTTTGGCTCGTCGTGGCCATGCTTCTTTTGTTGGATTAGGCCCAGCGTAAGCAAGCCCGCAAGGAATGGCTTGCCATTCGAGTTCTTGAAATTTATTCTCGAGCTGATAAATTTCGGAGAAAGGTCGTACAATGACACCCCCCAGTCCCCAGTCTTTTAGAGCGACCAATGTAGTGCCATCTCCTCTCATCATAGTTATCATACCTCGTTGCCACTTCCGTTTTTCTTGATGGCAACGCACTCTTCTTGCACGATATGTCGATAGAGTAATATACATCTTCGACGCTTCAGTCGACGATTTAGTTCGTCTAACATTTCTTCAAAATCTTTCTTGCTGTTATGCAACTGTACCCAGAATTTCGTTGGCGATTCTGCCTTTACAATTTTTATTTCAAACTGCGTGCAAGGTATTTGTGCAGGGAAAATTCCCATTTTATCTACAATGGAATTATGTTTGCAATGTAATGATTTGTATATCTTCATATTAGAAGAAGAAATAGTAATAAGAAGACAGGAAGTAATAAAGAAAGAAGGAAAATAAGCCAAGTTGATTGTTCTGAATGTTTAGTTTTTGAGTTCAAGAGAATAGGCGGTATTCTCTTTTGAGGGGAGAAGAGGATAAGTGTGATCATGTTCGATGCCACACATGGCGCGTGTTTATAACTCACAATCGAACTTGTTTATCTCTCGATGGATGCCGAAGGATTTGGTTCCTTGCTATTAGGTTTCTTTTTGCCTAAATGTAATAAGAGATGCGTGAGTGAGTCCCACAACTCCTAATAAATACACTGACCACCCATATACTGTATGCAGGGCGTGACCATGCACTAGAGTATCTAATATTAATTTAATGGCTCTAAAAGATAGATATATTCCTATCGCTCCAGCGCTGATGTTTCTGAAAATCAGAAACTTATCTCAAAATTTTTTCTAGGCGGAGGTGGCGATTTTCTCCACCGACGCTTTGTCTAAAAGATTTGAAATTGAGCGTGTATTGAAGTCGGGCGACCCATCACTCCTCTTGCTATAGTGTTGAGAACCGCAGGTCTTTCGGCAGGAAACATTATACGATCCTTAAGTTTTTGTAATTCATCTTGTAAATATATGCTGCTCATAGCAAGCACTCCGAAACTGGTATATCACCAGCTAAGTTTAATAAGTAGTTTCATAACAATGGGTGGTAGAGTTTCCACTGGCTTGGGCATAAGTTTATACCATGCATCCCTCAACAAATACATCGGAGGAGCAAAAGAATTACAATTAATTTGTGTACCCTGACGTAATAATACATGAGTTTGAGGTGTTAAATAATATGTTTGATTTCCTCGTTTTATTGGGAGTTGTTCATAGCATTCGTCTGTTTGAGCTATTTTCACTTCGATGAGTACACATTTTACTATGTGAATAACTCCCCCGGAGGAGGAGTACTATGTGGATAACTCCTCTTCCTCCTCCTTAGAAGGGCCATGTATCCTGATTCCTTCATGAAATGATAAGCAAAGATATCAGGGGATTGAATTGCTATAACTAAAGTATTTTGCATCATTCGTAATTCGAGGTGGCATTGTTGCAACAGAATATTTGCGTTCCGATGAATTCAGTAAATATAGAAATTGTAAGAGTCAGGGTGTCGTCCCATGGAGCGTATCGCGCGTATCGAAAATTTGATCAATTGCGGACGTTCCGCTATTTTCGATACGCCGATTTGCCGCCGTTCCGCCGAATCCATTCTTGTATCTTCTCATTCATTCTGTTCGTTCTTTTGTTGTGATTGGTTCGCGCGTTCCATTCCGCTATGGATTTCCGCGCCATGGGACACCAGCCTTAGAAGCTGCGTTCCGTAACTCACTGCCAGGGGGTCAATCATGTAACTTTACGTGAAATTTTTCACTTTTTATTTTTCACTTTTTACTTTTCATTTTTCACACCTTGACATTTCACGTGAAACTTTTCACGTACAGCAATTATGTATCTAGCTTGGATGCGTAGAAAGTGAAATCATGAAACATAGTTTCATAAGTTTTATAGCTAATGAAAATTATTTTATTGGTACAGTACTATATACATCTTTTAATAACCAATTGTATATGTACTACGTACACTTAATCCTAATGCAGCCCTAATCTTCTCTAATTCCGAAGCATATTTATTAATTCCCTAGATTTCCACCTTTCCGCCACCAAGGTACATGGCAAAAAAGTTTACGTGAAAAATTTCACATTTTCACGTTTGAGAGAGTTACATAATCCCGCAAAATCGTATATGATCGTAAGTTCACGTGAAACTTTTCACTTTTCACATTTCCGCCCTAGGGGAAAAGTTACATGATTGGCCCAGTACTGGCAGTACTGTAATGCCGTTCCGAAATTCATTCCAGTGTACTGCGATAGCACTACAATAGAATAATGACGTCATAAATTTTGTCGTCATTTTCTGCTGCGACTACTGTAGTTAAAAAGATGTAGTAATCACAGTACAAAATGGCGACGTTCAAGAAAGAAAAGTTAACTCTACTCGAATGCAGAAACAAATATTTAATATAAAATAATAATAAATAAAGAAGACGCACAAAAAGCATTACGAAATAAAAATAAAGTTTGATATTTATATTATAGCGAATTCGATCATTTGCGCTACACCAAGTTTGTATAAACATTACTATATATGAAATTATTGCTTTAATTGCTTTAATTGCTTTTCAGAAGAGATCGTGCATCTACCTGATTTTCCATCCCTTTCTAAGATTGGCCCTATTAATTCCAATATAAAAAAAAATGTTTTCCGATGTAATCTAAAATAAATATATTTTAGTAAAATTACAGAAACAGTTTGTTGTATCTACAAGAACAAAAGATTATAAAAATATACCGAAAGTGAGTTTTAAATTCTTTATTTGTATATTGAGATATTACATCTTCTACGACGTATTTTAGGTATAGAATTTGATTTACTTTTCTTTAATATTATTAACATTTCCTCCATTGCCATCTAGAGTCACTATCAGATTCATTGCTACTTGATTCCATTATATGTGCAATATTATTAATTATAAAAACTTTTTCCATTTTCTTATATTATTATATGACAGCGTCATATGCAGTTGCACGTAGTACTATTCAGATTTACTGCTATTTGAGTCCATTATACGCGTAATATTATTAATTATAAAAATTTTTTCCATTTTCTTATATTATTATATGACAGCGTCATATGCAGTTGTACGCAGCATATCAATCCCGTTCCATTTCTACAATTTCACCGTACAGCGATAATGAACTAGTGAAAACGGAATGCTTGCATAGTACACTATAATGACGTCATGCTGGCAGTACTGCCAATGAGTTACGGAACGCAATAAATTTAAATAGGAAACGAATCGCCATTTTCAACTCACAGTCCCTAGAAATCAGAAACGCGCCGCGCAAGACGTGACAACAGAAAACAGCAAGAGCGTGATAGAAAAAAATTATTCAAATGCTAAAGTAATATTTCTCGCAAACAATCGAATTGTTGATGACGGCTGGATAATAGATTTGGCGGTGTCAGTGCACATCGAATAAAAAAATACTTAGTTTATTGATGTCACTCGGTGATAGGAGTGTCCCAGATGCGCACATTTTCAATCGGACACACTCACATCAACCGATGTCTAGGAATTTTCTAGTGAGCCACCTATCAAAAAATTTTTTATTTAATCGACCAATCGGCAATGTGGCGATTGGACCTCATCCGTGGACAATAAAGTTTGTGAGATAGTCATACATGATGTGTATTACGAAAAAACCCTGAACTTAGTGTGAATTTATTATTGATACATAAAATAATCAAAAAAGTCGTAGTTATGTCGTAATATTTAATGAACATGCATGCGACATAAGGAACGCGGACGGTGAAATGGTTGCAGTTGCGAAACCGATGAATAATATTTATAAACTGGTTCAACGCGGCATACAGCTGTAAAAGTGAGAATGATTCAATATGGCACAGAAGATTCAGTCATTTGAACAAGACAAAATATGGTACTTTTAAGAGACAAGTGCACGAGTGGTCTAAAATTTAATGATCTAGACAAACACTCATGCGAAGTTTGTGTAAAGGGCAACATGCAAGACAACCAATAGCAAGAATCGATTGGAGAACATCAAACATCTAGCGCTGGTGCACTCAGACATCTGTGGATCAATGGAGGAAGCTCCTATCAGAGGTTCAAGATACTTTATCTTGTTTGTAAACGATTTTTCACAAAAATTAAGCATTTATTTTTAAAAAACAAAGTAAAACTCTTGACGTATTCAAGACTTATAAGGCATAGAGAAGCATTCTGGTCACAAAATTCTAGCATTACGATCAGATAACGAACGCGAGTATGTAAATAACGCGTTCGAGCGTTTCCTTCGTGCGGAAGGAATATAACTAGCTGATCATTCCATATACGCCGTAACAAAACGATTTAGCAGAACGTAACAATCGCACCGTTGGAAAAAGCATGTTGTCTGCTTGTAGATGCAAATCTTCTAAGAAGTTTTGAGCAGAAGTCAGCTTGACAGCAGTATATCTGATCAACCGCTCACCGATAAAGGGACTTCAGAACAAAACCGTATGAGGTTTGGACCGGGAAAAGGCCGGACTTATCTCATTTAAACATTTTTTATTACAGAGCTTCAGCACACATTCCCAAGGAGTCTTCAGTGCAAATGAGATAAAAAAATCGAGACTCTGTCTGTTTCTCGGATATTTGGAGCATACAAAAGGATACCATCTTTTTGATGAAAAAATCAAAAAGGTATTTAAAAATAAGGATATAATCTTCTATGAAGACACGAGTATTGATAAAAATGAAATGTTTCGCATAGAGCTCTACACAAGCAATTTAAAAATAGTGAATGCTCGGCTGATTTAGTGGAGGACAATAATGACAATTCTGAAGAAACCTCCATAACGACAGATCAGGAAAATAAGGATGAAACAGACAATGAGGGCGCTCAGATAAAGGAAGATAATTCGAATAATGACTTGGGAATCCCAGGAAACGAGAGATTGTCTATACCGCGCCGTAGTAATCGTACTTCGAAATCGAAAAAATGGTTAGACTACTTAACATTCAAAGTATTACTAGAGATCACAGAAAAGGAACCTTCTAGTCTAGAGGAAGCGATAATCGGCTCTCACAGCAATGGAGCTTGGCTATGAAGGAGTTGGAAACTCTGACACAGAATAAAACTTGGGAGATATGCTCGTCACCCAAGAATAAGAAGATCCTCAAATCCAAATGGGTATACAAAATTAAACAGAATCCCCAAGATGGATCTCAACGATTCAAAGCAAGACTAGTAGTACAGAGGCTACGAATAAATACGGGGAGTGGATTATCATAAGACTTTCTGCTCGGTAGTGAGATTCAGCACATTGAGATGCTTACTTGCTGTAGCTACCCAATACAATTATGACATCAATCATCTAGACGTCATAACAGTATAACTTCCTCAATGGTAACTTAGCCGAGAACATACAGGGTGATTCAAAACAATTGTTCGTCCTTAAAATGTCATATTCCTGAATCGATTCTAAGATGATTTTTGCTCTACCAAATTTTTATCAGAAGCTTAATTTTTGAATTATAAGGCAAAAAAATGTTTGCGAATTATGGGCCACGTACAGAAGATAGACAGGAGCGGAACTACCGGAAGAATTCAAAATGAAAAAACACGAAGGAAAAGTTTATAAGTTCAAAAAGACCATATACGATTTGAAGCAAGGGGCCTATGCTTGGAACAAAAAGTTAAATCATGCTAGAGGAGTTGCAATTCACACGTTCGAAAGTGGATCGTAACCTCTATATACGAAAAGAAGATAATAAAAGGGTAATATACATATATGACTTACTCTTGTTCTCGAATGATAAAAAACTAAAGAAATCAGTCATAAAATAATTTGAAAGGAAATTCAAAATGAGGAACTTAAGCCCTGTATCCAGAATCCTACGCATCAATGTGCAACGAGACAGGGAAAACAAAGAAATGATACTCGATCAAAAGAATTACATTGAAAACATACTATTGAAAAGATACAACATGGAGAATTGCAATCCAGTGAAGACTCTGTTGGATATAAATCAAAAACTAACAAAAAATATGGAACTGAAGGTAGTTCAGAAATGAGTGAAATGAAAGCAGTGCCGTATAGAAAAGCGCTGGATAATTTGATGTATGCCTATCTGGTGACACGACCAGATCTAGAATGTGTAATCTTAACGCTAGAGACATTTACCGAAAATCTGGATAAACCGCACTGAAATGCGATAAAACATATTACATTATTTGAGAGGAACTAAAAGTTTTAAATTAAGGTTTAATGATTCGGAGCCACTCAATTTGATAGGCTATAGTGATGCGAATTGGGCGGGTGATTTAGGTAGTCGACGTTTGGATATATCCTCTAATAGCACTCGTCTATTGTGAGAACGTTTCACGGGATATCATACAAAGTATATTCGAGATATTCTCCAAACATTTGAAATACGTACTATGATATACTGTGGAATGTACTTAGATCGTTACTACCGCTCACTAACCTAATCCCTAGTACTGGAAAATATCCCAATATGGCCATAGGATGAAAATAGTTTAAGAACAGTATATCATGTAGGGCATGCATAAGGATATTCCAGACAGCCATATAGATTGTGAAAATCTATAATATATCTATATATCTATAATTTAATATATCTATATATCTATAATATAATATATCTAATATATCTATAATATACGTGACACCTCTTACGGAAAATAAGTGAAAAGAATGAAAAAAATGAGAGAAAATAATAAAACATTTTTTATCTTGTATCATTGCATGTTTTTAAAATAGCCACCCATCCTACTTGGGATCCTGCTCGATGCTGCTTAATTTCTATAATGAGATGAAATCTGCAACTGAAATGATGAACACGGAACTTTGACATAAAATATGATAGATCCAGTTAATGAATGTCACTAAATGATATCATGTGCCTAATAGCACATGATATCATTCGAATATTCTACACTCGTACTGAAAGTACTGTGATCATACTATTATCTAATATACAGAGAATATTATCTAATACTATTATCTAATACTATTATCTTAATACTATTATCTAATAATTCAGAGAACATTCATATGACATCTTGATGGTATATTATTTCTCATATATTCTCATCTTCAGAATATATTGAATATATCCTATCTGCACATGATCTCATACGAATATTCTGTATTTATACTGAATGTACTGTGACCATACCGAAGATACTAAGATTATTTGCATAAAATCTGTGTAGAATATCATTTGTCGTATGTCGTATCCCAAGTAACAAGATGATATCATTATGATGATTTAAGATTATTTTTCGTCATTCAACATCAGTGTACTAAATAATGATGTAAAATAAATGTAACATTTGTCACAAAATATTACCGTTATAAATATATCGTCATTTAATCGTCATTTTTAATGAATAAATAATGAAATAACATTATTAATTATTATCTTTCTTAATTAACTGTAATATATAAATAAGAAAAATATTTCTCACATTTAATACAATTATTGACAAATTCATAAACAAATAAACAAAATATATTCAACAATTTATAAACAATTTTCATAATAAAAATGACTCTCATTAAACATAATATAAGTTCACGAATCTATATATGTAATTAAATTATTTACAAGAATTACATATGCAATTGAGATTTTAAAATTAAGACTATTTATATCATAATATAGTAAAATATTTATTAATCTAATTAGATCTATCATATTTTATGTCAAATTTCCGTGTAAATTCACTTATATCATCATTTCAGTTGCAGGTTTCATCCTATCATAGAAGTTAAGCAGCATTAAGCAGGATCACAAATAGGATGGGTGACCATTTTAAAAACATGAAATGATACAAAATAAAAAATTTTTCATTACTTTCTTTCAGTTTTTTTTTTATTTTTTTCATTTATTTTCCGTAAGAAGTCACGTATATTAAATTTTCACGATCTATATGGCGATCTGAGATATTCTTATGCATGTCCTACATAATATACTGTTTTTAAACCATTTTCATCCTGTAACCATACTGCGGAATATTCTCCAGTACATATTAGGGATTAGGTTAGTGAGCGGTAGTAACGATCTAAGTACATTCCACAGTATATCGCAGTACGTATTTCGAATGTTCGGAGAATATCTCGAATATATTTGTATGATATCCCGTGGAACGTTCTCAGAATAGACGAGTGCTATTAAGGTATATATTCTATATATTACACTGTTGCTTTTGTTTTCTTTATGTGATCCAACAGTGCCAAGTTTTTTTTACATAACAATTTTTTAATTTAAATTAAATTTTTTTCATTTTGTAATATTACTTCTTTAATTGTTTGTAATCAAATCTTTTATTCAATTCAAATATACATGTACTTAAAAATTACAGAAGGATATGCCGGAATATTATATACTTTATTCTCTATATACTCTATTCTGAGAACGTTCCACGAGATATCATACAAGTATATTCGAGATATTCTCCGAACATTCGAAATACGTACTGTGATATACTGTGGAATGTATTTAGATCGTTACTATCGCTCACTAACCTAATCCCTAATATATACTGGAGAATACCCTGCAATATGGCTACAGGATGAAAATTGTTTAAAAACAGTATATATTATAGAGCATGCATAAGAGTATCCCAGATCGTCACATAGATCGTGAAAATTTATAATATACGCGACACCTCTTACGGAAAATAAGTGAAAAAAAATGAAAAAAACTAAGAGAAAGTAATGAAACATTTTTTATCTTGTATCATTGCATGTTTTTAAAACAGTCACCCATCTTACTACTCATACTTGTGATTCTGCTCAATGCTGCTTAACTTCTATGATGGGATAAAACCTGCAACTGAAATGATGATATAAGTAATACGGAATTTTGACATAAAATATGATAAATCTAGTTAATAAATATTTTACTATATTGTCATATAAATAGTCTTAATTTTAAAATCTCGATTGCATATGTAATTCTTGTAAATAATTTAATTACATATATAGATTGAATCTATATTATGTTTAATGAGAGTCATTTTTATTATGAAAATTGTTTATAAATTGTTGAATATATTTATTTGTTTATGAATTTGTCAATAATTAAATATGGGAAATATTTTTTTTATTTAAATATTACAGTTAATTAAGAAAGAATAATTATTAATGTTATTTCATTTATTCATTGAAAATGACGATTAAATGAGGATATATTTATAACGGTAATATTTCGTGACAAATGTTATGTTTATTTTATGTCATTATTTAGTACACTGATGTCGAATGACGAAAAATAATTTTAAATCATCGTCATAATAATGTCATCTTGTTACTTCGGATACCACAAATGATTCTACACAGATTTTATGCAAATAATCTTAGTATCTTCGGTATGATCACAGTACATTCAGTATAAATATTCATTATAGAATATTCGTATGAGATCATGTGCTGATAGAATATATTCAGTATATTCTGAAGATGAACTTATGACTATTATACGAGAAATGATATACCATCAAGACGTCATATGAATGTTCTCTGGTATATTAGACAATAGTACGTATGACCACAGTACTTTCAGTACGAGTGTAGAATATTCGAATGATATCATATGCTATTAGGGTATACATATATTGAGATAGAATGAAAGCTACTACTACTTGTGTTAGATACATATCATTTGAATTAAATTAGGTTAAACACAATTTTATATCATTAATTTTTAAAAAGAATTAAAGCTACTATCACTTAGGTTGGTAGAATAAGCTTTCAATGAAGATATAAATATATGAATCATTGATTTACATTTTTTAAAAGCAATTGTAGATTTAACTTTTAAGATAATGCGACTATAACTTGGCGACACTTTCTTGCTATTAAATCTTTTATATAAATGATATACATATTTAGGGTTGAGTATTAGATACTATTTGAATTTAATAAGATTATGATACAACACTTAGGTTTAAATAGAAAACTCTTAAGTGACAAAGATATATACTTAGATTTTATTTCTATTTTTCTATGATCTTGAATATTTAAATAAATATTCAAGATTCATTCTCAAATAAATGCGATTGAGGTAAATGTTATTATATTTGATACTCTTTTTTTACCCTTTTGTAAAAGGGTAATTTTATAATGATATCAGATACAGAGATCACAAAGATACTAGCACTTAGATTTTATTTTTTAGTTTAATCACAACTAGAATTGAGTTAGATATGGCGATTTCGTAACATAATTTTTTTTAAAGAATTAAAATTACTACTACACATGGAAAGCAACTTCGAAGTTTTTTCTTGAATCTTGTCTTACCATCGAAAATTTGTGAGATTTTCAACTTTGATGAAGTCTGTATAAATTAATGAAGAATCAAATTAAATTTTCTTGGAATAAGAATGTTAAAAAGATTTCGAAAATTTGATCAATATCAAATATCAATGTTTTCCTTGATGCTCCGAAAGGAAAGAAGGAATTCATTTTGAATATAGATACTTCAAATATTAATGTAATCTTATCACAGAGACAGAACAGAATAGAAAAAATAATAACCTATTTTAGTCATGGACTGAAAACAGCAAAGGTGAAAAAAATTACTCACCGGGAATTTCTAGCTATTATGGATGGCTCGATAACATCTTTTTACCATTATCTTTATAAACGAAAGTTTTTGATTCGTACGGATCACATTTCGCTCAAATAGCTAAGGTCTTTAAGAACTTAAGAACTAGAAGAGCAATTGATGCAAGAAAGATTACAACAATAAAGCTGAATTTGAGATTGTTCATTGAAAAGGTCAAAATCATGGTAACACTGATGAATTATCTAATATCTCCTAATTTCTAAATTTTTAAGTACAACATGAATCATATTTATAAATAAATAAAATAAAGAAAATGTATATATGTAATAATATTCAAATTAATTAAATCCTTTTCATTGTTATCATATTATAATTTCCTTAATCATCCAAGTGTATTTTATGATCTGGCTTTATAAATTTCTTCATCCTTGCTTTGTCTCGTTTCCTAAATCACATAAATTATATATAAATTTCTTTAAAATGTATGTAAATAAAAATTAGTTCAATTTATTAATATAACTTATTGATATTAAAATTCAATTGTTTATTTAAATTCTCTTTTCGCTAATTTTCTTCGTTCTCTTTATTCTGAAATTCTTTTTTAATCAAATTGTGCCAAATCTATTATCCCAGAATTCTAATGAATTACACATTATTTAATTTTTTTATACTTACAATTTTATGACAGTAGGGGCAATAATGTTTCTTTGTTGAAGTGACTTATATCGTTCTTTCAGTAAATTCTTAGAAGGTTTACAGTTCCTTAAATTGCCAGTTAATTCTTCTGCAAGCTGGAAATCAGGATCAATGGGTTCAAATTTTGTTTTACTCAGAATCTTTGGCATAACCGATTCCCTCTCACACTTTTTCATTCGTTTTTGTTGTAAAAATACTTGCTTTTTTTCCTCAGCTTCTATTTGCTTTTGTAGAGTTTTTAATTTATAAATATCGGAAATTTTTTTTTTCTCGAGCTTAGCCAATATACGTTCATTAGCCGCTTGTTTTTGTTCTTGTTGTTTTCTTCTTTGTACAAGAGTCTTTTTGGTATTCTTTACAAATTTACTGTTTGCTTTTACAATGGAAGAATCTTCTTTTTCATAATTATCTTTCTCAATTAACTTTAAATCTTCTGTTATTTGTTTATTTTCAAGCAAACCCTCTAACATTTCTTTCATCATATGTTCATCTCTTTTTTTTAATGAAATCTGAATAAACAAATATTTAATATTGCAAATTTACATTTAAGGAACATTTTAAATATTTAATTTTGAAATATTTAAATTAAAAATTACAAGATGATAATATAAAACTATTATTTATTATAAAAAGAATTAAATATTATTAAAATGTTAAATATATAATGAAATATTAGAAATTAGTAAAAAAAAATTGTTTATTTTATAATATAAAATAAAATAAAATTTATATTAAAATGAAAAATATTACTATTTTACCTTTTCAAACATCTGAGTTGTGACTCTGTCCAAATGTTCTTTTTGTTTCATCAATTCTAATTCTTTCTGTATGATTTCATGCAACAATTCTTGATGATCAGTGTATGATGGATTATAAGATGTACCTGGATGTGGTATTTCTATTACTGGTATAACAGATGGCTTTTTCTGTAAAGGCAATTTTTTTTTTTCATTCCTAAATAATTAATTGTATGCCTAATGCTATCTGAAGACATCCATTTAGCAACTGTTTCTGGTAATAAGTCATTAGTAGTATTCCATATATCATCTTTAATTTCTCCTCTTATAGGCTGATTCTGTAAAGCTGCTTTTGCAAGCATTCTATTTTTCAATGCTTCCTTTTCTTTTAATTTAAGAATGCCCTTTTTTCTTCTTTCTATTTCATGTGGCTGTAATATAGAATTCATGCGTTCTTTTTTCATCCTAACTTGGTTTCGTTTAGAAATTGGATCAGGAACATGTGTATGTGATTTCAAAGACGCAAAACATCTTGGTTCTTTATTCTTTAATGCTAATCTAGTAGCACATTTGGAAGTTAAATTTTCAGTAGCATTAGTTTTGTCAACAGTATATAACTCAGCATCTGTCAGTTTAGTTAGAGTGATACCCAAACGTTCTTCAAATCTATTATTATCAAGGAATGCATCTATATCCTTTGTATCAATATGTTTCCTCCATGATTTTTTCGTCTTCTTAGAGACTTTATGCTTCTTAAATTTGGAATCGTTCATTTCTAAAAAAAAATTTGTTGTGCATTATATATATATATATATATATATAGAGAGAGAGAGAGAGAGAGAGAGAGCTGCCTATTT